TGCCTATGTCACCGTCTTCACATGAACAGTTAAATTTATAAATGTACACTGAAGTGACCAGACTCGGTAGCTTATCCTTCACCTGTGTTGGAACTAGATAACTAGTGACGAATTTTAAACACAGTTTTGTGGCAAAGAATGTTTTAGCTATTATTTTTCGAAGTTTCCCTGCCAGAAATTCAGTTGCTGAGTCTCGTTTAAACAGTACAGTCATGTATATGCGTTTCTTCTGCGCAGTTTGCAGTCACTTTTTTCTATCTGTTCTCCTCATCGAGACTTTAACAAATTTTTTGGGTATCCATTCACGTATAAAAAGTTTTCTATCTCCCTTATTTCATTGCCTAGAGTGTCGGTTCGGCAGATTTTTCTAGCACGATACATCAAGGTACTGATAAGATTTCGTTTGTATGCAAGAGGGACAAACGAATTAAAATGTGTGTATTGTCCAACCCATAACTTCTTCTGGAAAATACCCCTCTGAATGCTGCCATTTCGCCTTCTTGTTAGTAGGACATCAGGAAATGATAAGTTATTGTCTTTCTTCTTTTCATATGTCAATTCAAGTTGTGGGTGAGTCATAGTGGACTTTTGGAGAAGGAGCTCTGCATCGGTCTTACTGCTATGCAAGATGAAAGTATAGTCCATATATAGATATATTTAGTAGAAAGAGAGTGCTTTGATTAAGTTTTTGAATGAACGATTCTCTGATTTCGCCATCAACATACCTGCTAAGAGAAGACCTAGAGGGGAGCTCATTGCTACACGCACCCACCCCCACTTGAAGGTGAAATTCGTTGTTCAACTGAAACTGCACATTCATCGTACAACGGAGTAGCAGTTCCTGTAGTGTTTGAGGTGTTATACATACGTCCATATCATTTTCTATAAGAAGTTCACAGATGAAGTCAATCACCTCTAATAAATGGACATTGATGAAGAAGGAAGTGACATCCATAGAGATCATTGTTTTATCATTGATCTTCTTATCTCTTACTTTTACTACAAATTCAAATGTGTCCTTCAGACTATGCTTAGCCACCTTTAGCTGCAGTGGTTTAATTATGTCTGCCAGCCATCTTGCTATTTCACGATATGATGAGTCAAACATACATAATGTCGGTCTTATGGGGACGTTGGGTTTATGAACTTTAGGTAGCCCATGCATTCTAGGTATATTTGTTCCTAAAGACTTCAGACGTTCAAGAGTTTGAGGAGACACTATATAACTTGATGCCAGATCTTTCAGTATCTTGGAAAACTCTTTTTCAACATTCTCAGTATCATCTTTGACTTTGAAAAGTCTTTGAAATTCTTGTAGTGTCCTTGAAAATGCCACTCATCTTATCAATTTAGTCAGCTTTATTAATTAATACGATCTCAGTACCCTTATCTTTGTACTCTGATACTATATGCTATTAACCACATTAATTCAAATGCCTATGACTAATATTTCATTATGTAAATGTAAAGCCTGATGAAAATTTACCAAAAATACCTATTTGCCTAACTCTTGTTCTGTAATTATCATTATGGGAATTGTTAAATTAATACAAAGAGTAGAAATCAAAGGGTCAGAGATAAACTCTAATATGAATGTTGATAGAAAAATGAGGGGAAGCTGGAAACAGACGATGAAACCAGAAGACGAATGGTTACTAAGAAGAGAGTGAGCAGGACAAATGACGTCTCACGATAGATTTCTTTCGAACACATAGTTCAGGTTTTAGTCGTTTTATTGAGATAGCTTCAATAAACTGAATCATTGAAATAAAATAGATCAATATTATTCCGAAACAATGTTTGTTCTATCTCAGTTAAAATTTCTGAAATTGGATTCATGCATGAAGTTGTTAAAGACAAGTCTCTCTTCCAAAGTGTTCAATTTTCGCTATCCGCTCTTATTCAAACAGAAAATTCAAAAGAAAACTGTTTCTGCATTTTGAAAGTCTTGTTAGCGATATCAGCAGATAAACAATTCCGTATTTCATCACTAACGATAAACAAAACACAACTGAAGTTCTCTTTGGGTACCAGAATACACAATACCTGTAGAGAAAATTGTCCCCCATGAACAATATTATTATTAACAATTTAACAATTGCTGCATTTGTATTCCATTGCTTTGAAGATTTATTTTTCTAGATTTGCATTAACCTTGTGTAAACAGTGAACAAGGCAAATTTAATTAATTTTTTAGATTATATGAAAATACTTATTTTTTTTCTTTAAGGGAATAAATGTATTCACTGATTTAGCCAGAGATTTGCACGTTTTTTGCTCAAGTAGATAAAAAGATTCATAGAATATAATTGCTCTCCTCAAATAGTATTTTTATAGAAGAATATTTCACAGTAACATTTTTTGTAGATTTATGGGTTAAAGATAAGTGAGACGAAAACAATTCCTTTCACATCCTATGATGCAAGGCATCTTCTTACATTTCTAAGAATGTTTTTGACGTAATAATCCATAAGTATTTTTCCAAATTTGATACTTACTATGTAGATATTGGTATCTTCTCTACAGGGAATTTGGGAATAACAAGTTGTATGCTAAATGTAGTTTTAGGTCATGCTTACTTTTCAAAGTTTCTTTGTTATTCAAAATGTCTCGGGAAAATATTGTTTTTATTAAAAATTGAAACACTATACATCTTTATGCCCTCCTGCTGCTTATCTATCATCCTATCTTCAGTTATTTATCAAAGGAAAAACAGTATGATATGCTTACATTAGTACAGTGAAAATAAAAATTAGTAAGTGGTTAAGTTTGGCCGAAATCATAACAAAAAATTTGAACAGACGTCTCTAAATTCCCTTACTTTAACTTGGATTATTCAGTCACACATGAGAGTCATATTGTTCCTAATTTATAATGTGTATAAGTGCAAAATTGTTCCAGTGAGTAGTCATTTCCAATCGTTAAGTCATTGTGTGTGGATGTTTTCCCTGGCAAATATGAACACATGTGTTTAGGTACCTGTTTTGTAATCTAACTGCTGAGGAATGAACGGAAGTTGTAAATTTAGGTAGAAGTGTTGTGCTGTAGTTTATAATTGCATGATCAGTTCTAAAGCGTGCTATTATTCATACTCATCACGATGTTTTACTGTTCTTCCATAGATACGAGTAAGTTACTGTATGCGACTGAATTATAACTGATAGTATGCTCTGTGTTTTGACATCACAAATGAAAATGAGATTTGCTGTGGATGGATAACCCCGTTATCTACCAACCAAATGTACGGGACACTTCAGGATGCATTCTGTAGAGGTTAAAGTACTTTAAGTACACTTTAACGAGTGTTGAAATGTACAGTTTAGTGCACTGTTCAATCCTTACTCAGCTGTTACAGTCTGATGATTAGCTTTCTATAGGGTACTGGATGATATTTTATTTCAAGCATTTGAAATTCAAATATAATCTGTGTATCCTCAGTCATTATGTTGATCAGGTAATCTTGTAGTCTTTGTGTCTAAACACCATCAGTTTGATGACTGAGAATATTGCTGACTTGAATAGTAGAACATTTTATGCATACGAACTATTCAGAAGTGCACGCAGCCATGAGTAGTCATGGTTTGTTAGACGGTTTCAGAAGACTTGGTCTTTGTTATTTTGTATAACGATAGGTTAAAATTGAACAAGATATCCACTACTGTGGATAAATAAATAGGCCTAACTAATCATTTTGGGTCAGTAGTTTATATTTTATCTTGCTTAATCTAAATTCTGTTGATAATGAATACAATCAGTGTGTCATATACTCAACCGCATATCCTAGAAATTATAAAAAAAGTTATGTATTGGTCACGCTTGCTATTCATTATTATTATTCCCTTGGAGTCCGAGTGGAAAACAGAGTATCGAAAGCACACGTCCATTTCATCCTGTCCTTTCTATCTAGCTGCACGACTGCCTACAAGCTCTTACCTCTTTTCCATAATATATCTTTCGTACCACACTTAGACCCACACCCAACTCTTTGTTTCTCATTTTTGACCCAGTTGAGGATTTTACATGCAATGTCACTCAACGTCCTCGTCAACGTGTGTCCAGATCATCTCCATCTCCTTTGGCTTATTGTTGGGAAATAGGTTTTTGTCTGATTTTTTACCGGAGTACCCTGTCGCTTTCATTTTCTGGCCACTTGATCTTCAATATAGAAAGAAGGCAGCTGTCAATAAAACTCTGAAGCAAGTTGCTGGAAGTGCTTTTGTCGACGCGCTAAGTATCTAAGCCACATAGAAGCACTAACTTGACATGAGTGATGAGTTTTCAGATCTTGTTCTTTATACTGAGTGTGGTAGATTTCTAAACTAATTTTAGATCAACAAAGACTATTAACTATGTCATAATTCACATAGAAATATTTTGATTAATTTTACCTATAAGTTATAACTTTTCATTTCATATTATAACCAAGATATATTTATTAAGCACCTATTTCCCCAAACTTCTCATTCTCAACGGTAACAAACCTATGAAAGTATTTGCATAATAATTGTAGAACAGCATATGAGAAATTAAGTTTGCAACAAGTTGTGCAGTAATCAGTGAAGCCAAACGAAAGCTGAAAGATGGGTGAGTAACTCATCAGTAATAAGAATTTATATGCGCACAGAATACACAGAAAACATCAGACTATGTGCTAATACGTAATCTGTGTTTGAAGTTCTTTATGCAGACAGTCGAAATGAAGAACACCGATTCAAGTTCATATTCTCAGTATGTGGAGAAGGCAGTATATATATATATATATACAACTCTGATCACTTAATGATAACAAGTATTTCATCTTCAAATAAAAGACCGTCTTAAGACCGATGTGAAATAGATAATAACTTACTCCACCAAATATAATTCACTAACGTTTAGTTTACTATTTTGATGTAAATTTTACTTTAAAAGTTGTTCTGTATTGTAAAATATTCTTTCGTTTATTTTATATTAAACTAAATCTGTCGTGTGCTTATAATGTTTTTTCTCTTTTTTTACAGCTACACTCTACAGTGTGTATTACCAATCAATTACTTTGTCGAAAAAGTCTATGTCTTTCTTTGGTTTTGGTTTGTAATCCTCACAGTTGTCACTACAGTAAGCACACTGCAATGGGCTTTCAACACACTTTTACCAGTTAGACGAATAGCTTATATAAAACAGTATATACGTGCAATTCGACAACTTTCAAATACAGAGGAAAGAGATTGTACACGATTTGTAAATCATAATCTTGGTCCAGATGGTGTATTGATACTTCAAGTTGTTTCTAGAGTTTCCAGTGATCTTATTGCACTAGATGTAACTGCAACACTATGGAGTAACTACAGACATGCTAAAATCACTGGAACAGAAGAGGATATTAATAGATTTTTAGAAAATGTCAATCGTGGAACAAATGCAGTATAGTGATAATCAGGTCAGGTTATAACACTGATAATGAAATGCATATTTCTCTTCAGTTTAATTTCATTCATAATATGTATACCCTTTTCCTCAATAATACATATGTATATTACCCGACTGTTACATAACTTTATTACAAAAGCTCAACACAGCTCCAGATACTTACATTTCAACAAAATTGTATTTTAATTCGATATACAGTTAGATGTATTCATTTTAAACGCCTTGCTCTCAACAAAATATAACATTTTATATATACATATAAATATATATCACTGAGATAATTATCCTAGGTCATGTTTACATTAATGCTACTATTATTACTGATGATAATAATATCACTACAGTAACTAGTAAATTTAATGGAATTTTGTGAACAGAACACTGACACTCATATACTTCCTTCTTGTTCAGTTACAATTTCCTTTCAGTATTTAAAACAAACAAAAAATAATAGATTGTTTAATTATTTGAATTTCTATTAGGCAATGTAAACAAAATAACAAACACTAAATTTTATTCTCTTCCCCTCATTTTTTACTCCGAATTTTTAATTAGGCAAAAAAGAAAACAAAATCATCGTACAAAATATTCAGAATTATTTGTTCGTATATATTTAGTCTGAAGAAGGAAACATGGTATAAGCATTCGAGAAGAAATTGAAATTCACATCTAGCGTAAATTCGAAATGACAGCGATTAGAAATAAATGCAGAAATTCTTTTTGATTTGTTGGAGGATTTGTTAAGCTACACTATGTTTATCCAGAGAGATTTGTACTAGAAAAGAAAGAGTAAAAAGTAATGAATCATAATTTCTTTATATCGTAACCAAGTGCAAGCAGCTTATCCGTACTGTGCTTTCGTTGCTTTAATCACAGGTTGTGAAACTTGCTAGCCAAAACAGAAGAAAATCAAAAAGAGTAGCAACTAAATGGAAGAATATCAACTACTGGAATTCTGAGAAACATAAAAAGCCAAAATGATTACTTCATAATATGTAGTAACCCACCTGTTAAGTTTTAACTGTTATAAGCAGTAAAACGTATATACTTTGTTATGAGACGAGTGAACAGACCATGGAAGAAGGTCTATACAATAAGTTCATTTGCACAGCCTCATAATCGCTTTTAAATACAATCTTTTGGTAAGCATGTACCTGTCATACCAGTTTGTAGGATATAAAAAAGGAAAGAAAAGTCACAGTGTCTTGCGCATTATAAATTAATTGAAATGCAGAAGAAACTTAGCCAAACCTATAAGAATCAATGCAACATTCTATTCATGTCAAAATAAACAGACTGTTCAAACTGTGCGTCGGTGGCACAGTGGTTAGGACTCTTGCCGACCATGCACATGGTCCGGGGTTCGATCCCCTGCCGGCGCACACCCGATATCTATGGTCGGCCTGAATTTGGGCTACCGATATCCATGAATTCTCTTATTCCGATATGTCAACTGTTTCTTAATGTAGATGGCAATGGTGATGTTACACTGCACTGTATTCATATTATGATCAAGTTGAATAATTTGAACAACTCAAATTATAATAGCATCATTTCATCGTAGACAGGAACACTGAAGTTAAGTCTTTTCAGTGATGTTTTTGGCCTGCGACTTGCATCAGACAGAAAAAGTCGTATTGAACAAAACAACCGTAGGAGGTTATCAAACTCATTCAATCTCTGAAATGAAACTGACCAATTTGGTGTATAAAGGTGATATTTTAAATTTAAGCAATAACATAATAGTAAAGCTTTATTTCAGACAATACGTGTACATATATTACAGAAATTTTCAGCGTATTTAGTTCCAAAATATTTCCCCTTTATACAGAATTTACGTGTAAAGCAATGATCCGAAGTACAAACTTTGTCGTGGTGTTGTTGCATATGAGGAGAGAACCAATTCTGTACACTTTTCTTCAATTCCTCCTAAAATTGCACAGCGCATAGTGGGAAACTAATTAAATATGCGAGCGAGTTCATGTGTTGTACGATTAAAACAATAAGAAGTGCAGAAAAGTTTAAGCATTTTGATGAATGGAAATGCTAGTAGCCCAGTGATTCAAGCAGGCCGCCATGGTTATAAAGCAGGAGTACGTGGTCAGGCACCATCTAAAAATATGCAATACTAAAATTACAACAGGTCTACCACTAGGAGATCAAATTTTCGGCAAATTATTACTGAAATAATGTAATGACCGCACTTTTGCGTCAAGATGCACTTTAGATTTCTGATACTTTGTTTTGATTTGGTTTCGTTTTCTGAGCTGAGTGATTTAATTGCAAACCTGGGACCAAAAAAGGAGCCTTATTTAGATATCAGAGTGCTATTCTTAACAAAGAGTTGAGCAGCATATTTAGGTAAAATTGATAAAATTTCATCCAATCCAAAACGCTAGTAAGATTTCAAAGGTTACTACAGACTAGTAAAGGAAATCATGAACGGTACACCAAAGGTGGAAGATAGTAAATTGTGAAAAGTGATATATACTTATATACATCTAAATTAAAAACGGAAATGTCAAGTAAATGAAAGAATAATATCTTGAAACCCAGGAAGGACTTGCAATTTGCGATAAATTAACAAAGAAATTCAAGATGACACACCAGCCACTAAAACCAAATCAACGGGTAGAGACTCTTCGACTGTTATCTAAATAAATTGGTAGGAATATTAAGCTTACGGGCCTTTTAGGGATTTACATTAATTCCGGTACAGATTTCGTCACGGGAATTGAATAACGCGTGAGTTTTTATTTTGTTAATTTGTAATATAGCTCTAACGTCAACCACTACCTTCAATAGGCATCCACTTCACCCTGACATGGCGGGCCGTATTGGTCACGACCTCTCAACGCAGCTTTAGGACATCCATCCAGTAGTTCAGCACGATCCCTGGTGGGGTCATCTTATCGTCTTTTACAACTTATATTACAGATATTTTTATGGGTGAAGGCTTACACGGATTAACTTCACAGAGTAGGGCTTCTCATCAAAAATACTGTAAGATTTGTCTTCAAAACTACTACTGACGAACACTCAAAGTAAGACGAAATGGCTGTTCAGTTCTTCCTGGTTTCCAGCGATTCTCGAACCAGTGCTGGTTAATGGCGAAATCTATAGAGAAATATCTCGGTATAAATCCTTACCAGTCTGCTTGTGCGCACATGGGACTTCTGTCATAAGAAGAATTTTAAGACTGTCTGACGTTAAGTGGAATAGAAATTGTGGTTAATCATGGATGAGATAGAAGTGGTATGTTCGCGAAATGGGCTTGTCTTAAGTCTGCCTTTTATGTTAACAGCTACTTTGTAATACGTCCTAGTGTTAACCTTGCAAGTATTTCAGCAATAGAAATGCAACAGATGCATATGCCATCTATAAAATCCTAAGGAATTTCCCTTTCTGATTGTAAGAAAATAATCCAAGAAAGCAGGATGCAAGGGTAAAACAAAGAAAGTTCTTCAAATTACACCTGAGAAATCATATGATAAATAACCCGACATAACATCATATTACTGGTGAATAGTCATCAAAGAACAACTCAGTTTATTTGTTTTAAATCTGGTCACCTACATACTACATTAAATAATGAAAAGAGGGGCGAAAACCTTAGAAGATGAGATGCATTTATGAAACTATCACAACAACAAATTGTATAATAATTATAACAGAAGTATCCTGATCGCTACTTAGGATATTAATCACCACCATGTGCATGCTAGTCATTTAATTGTAATCTGAGATCTTTTACTTCTGCAGAATCACATTGGATCAAACATTGAGCTTTCAGGTTTATCAGAGAGGAAGTCAAAGTTAATTCATCTTTTCCTCTTAATTCAGATTTTTCCTCAAAGATTTTATTGATTTCGATCGCAAAATTTTATGGTATTCATCTCCAAAATTATCACTGATGAGCACTCAATTAATCTAAATTTAAATGTATGCTTGTTTCCTGACTGGCGATTTACCGTCAACTCCGTGAGCAGATTCTTGGTTGATAAGCTCCCCAAAACTCATGTGTTAAGCCTAATTTTGTTCCACTAACAGGCAAGTCTGAAAAGTCATAAAAACCACTTGTGAATACTTTTGAACTCCTGCCGTCTTTTTCAGATGTATGCTTCGAATAAGTTTTTTTTCATTCTACTGGTGTGAAATGGAATTTCTGTTCACAATATTTAAGCAAAGGATAAAAGGATTGTGAGAAATATATTAGTGACACGTCACTTAAAGTATAAGGAAAATTAAAAATCTGAAAAATGATTAGTTATTAAAATGAATGACGATTTGTTTTGCTTTCAATCTCCAAACAGAGAATAAATAATAGAAATTCATAGCCACCATGTAAAAAATTGAATATCTTTCATTGAAATGCTTTCCAGAACCTTTTTATCTGTTATATACCGTAATAATCTAAATATCGTATACACCAATGCCTCAGAATGATTTACGATATTTCATTCTCAAGCTCTGGTGTCAAATAATTCGCGTGATTTCGAAGACTAACCGGATTTGGCTTACTTCCGCAACTTCCCAAAAACATGACCAAATCCTAGAAAACTTCAAAGATACCGCTTCGATGGGGTTTACTTGATGGTAAGCATGTGCGATTTTTGTGAAAAGGCAGTGAACTGTCTTAAGTGTCTCAATGAATAATTTCGTCTTCGACCTAATAAAGCATGTTCACAAACTGAGTCTTTCACCCCAGACTCTTTCAGGAAATAAGTTGGTAGGTCATCACTGTCTTCAGAAGCTATGCCGTCTAATTTACACTACACCTTACAATGGTAGCACTATTTTCGAAATCCCTGAGGGGAAGATTTAGTACTCTTAATTTACAAAGTGATGACATATGCATTTGGAAGGTAAATTCCCTAAATTAGCATCATAACAGTAGTTTATCTTGAGGCTTGTGTATGTATTTGTTTGAATCGTAATTAAATACTGATCAAACAGGTATGTCTGTATATGTTTAAACAGTATAACAGGATCAAGTGGCA